GGGGGGATTGCTTGCCCTTCTGGCTTTTCTTAAAGCTTCCTTCTGTGGTTTCTTTTTTACCTAAAATAAGGGGGCGGGCCCCCAAGGCACCTATCTTAGATCCGCCACTGTACTTGTACTATCAAAATGCGTGTTGTTGCCTATCTGTTCAGAACGCAAAAGTTTATAACACCTAAATAACCCCTAACCGATACATTCAGTTGAACTAGCGATGTTTCCATAGCGTAGACGAGAAAGTCCATTCTAAACTTCGCATTAAAAATACAGCTGTAGATTTGTCTAAAATAGAGATTTGTATTCAGAATTTATGTCAGAGGTTTAGTTTTGACAAAATATTTGTAGATATATGTTCGAGTTGCGGCAGATCTTTAACATAGTTAGGCTGTTGAATTATATTGTGAAGTTAAAGTGTTGGATAATGGTCTTCTATGTCTCAAGAGGAAAACATGTTCATCGCTCCCATTAGGGCATGGAATTCCCTTGGAATATAGATGGCAGCTTGTCAGCTGTTTGTCTTTAAGATTCTCAAAACAATCTCTATTCATGCCCAGCAGTTTGTCTGGTTCAACCTGAAAGGCACTGGAAACAAGTGGGATATAAGCATTCATCCACTCCTTGCAAAGGTTGTGCACTTATAGTGCCTCAAATGTTATTTTTCAAGTTCCGCCAAGATTTTAGATGCATAGCACTGCGTATGCACGTGGGTGCCTACAGTATTTTCTGTATTGCATGTCAACGTCTCTTCCCCACGGGTACCCAGTTTCTAACCTTGCCCATTCTGGGCAAGATGTCAAGAACCTTCGAGATCTGTACGACTTGTGAAAAAGGTCAAATCTAGGATTAAAACTGGACACTTAAATACGTTGTATCTGAGATGCAAACAAGTTTAGAATTGAAAATGTTTGTTGAACTGAAAATAAGGGCGAAAACAACTCTCGGTGAAAATTTTATTTCTGTTTTAAAGATTGCTCATAACTTTGTCCGTGTTTATGCTTCTGAAACAACGTCACCTTCGTACGTTGTAACTATAGTTACAGCCTGATAATTTCCATAAACAGGATACGTTTACATCTAGGAATGACTACTCAAATGATTTTGTTAGATTATAGATTCGAGCCGAGAAATTTGATACCGATGGCGTGGTTCTTTCGAGCTTTGGTAGAGCTTTTTTAATTGGTTTACACTCTAGCTGAGGATACCAGTCGGACATGCACACGAAAGGAAAAGGGGTAAGAAAATTCACCCCAGTGTTCTCCCCAGGATTTTTGGAAGGCCAGGGGGCACTCTCTTCAAGCTCGCTCCCAGGGTCTCTCCCCACTCCCTGAGCGAAAGATGAGGGAATGAGGAGAGACCCTGGCAATGAGGTTCATTCTGAATTTGATATTCATAAGAACCTTCCTGTGGCCTGATTAGAAAATTAATAAAGATTTCCAAACTTACGACTTAATTGTACATTGTTTATGAAGTAACTTACTAAAGTACTCAGAAAAACAGGAAAACAACAGTTACTTGTCTTCATAAAGTAAAGTTATTAAGTAAAGTTTGTTAGTGCTTTATGAAGTAAATGTTATTCTCCTGTTTTTCTGAGCCCCCCAAATGCCAGCAGTTTTCTCGAAATCAAATTCTTCCAGCTTTGGTCCTTCAATAGAAATCGTTACAAGATGGTTCAGGATCCTGAAACACGGAACATCAACCCAAACAGCACATCCTTGTCTTACTCTCTGGGGTCTTTGGTTATGTTTTCTACACAACTTGCATAACATACCATTGTGATTATTACTCCCACTGTCATTGTTTATAGTAGTCTCAAGCCACGGAAAGTCCTTCAGCCAAGCTGGATCAAAACCTGATTTTCAGTCGGTGTTTTGAATTTACAGATGTTGAGAGCTCCGACTGAACTTCTTCCCCGGCCGCATTACTTTCTCCTTTCTGTCTCTTTTCCAGAGAAAAAAAATGAACTTAACTTACTTTGGGAAGCTTTTCTTTTCTTTTCTTTTCTGAACACGCTGAGTCCACTGAGCTCGCCATTTTTGACACGCCTTCCACGAAGGCGGAAATTTGGTTCAGTATTTCATGACTGACATTTTGGAGTGTCCTTCTGTTCTCGGGACAATTTAAAGATGGCTGCCGTTCAACGAAACGAATGTTTCATCAACTTTATTGAGTGATTTCTTCTTTACTTATGGATAGGAATTCCCATTTCCAAATCTCANGTAATACCTCATAAGTTATTTTTAGACAAAGTTCGTCCGCGGATGTCACTCGCGCCTTGCGTGGATGTTTTCGTGGAGGATCAAAATACGTGTAAAGCCGATTGGACTGTCCACGTGAGCAAAATCAGCGTTACAAGATTGGCTTTTTCTGAGCAAATGAGATTTCCGGAACCAGGAGTGATTTAGAAATAACTTGAAAAGGATAACCTTGAGAATAGCAGCAACTCTCTCATCTTTCATCAACATTAACTTCATTTTCTCTGGTCGGAGATCGACTACTCACCTACAAGGTTACGCAACACAACCAGAATGTATGGTCTTAGTGTAGACTTGGATATCTCCCTAGCCGACCTCAATGTTGAATTCGCATGGGTTACCTGATTGTAGTGAATTATGTCCGATACAATTAAGGCGAATTCCAAAAAAAGGGCGCCAATTCAAGTCGTTGTAAGGTTTAATTTCCATTGTTGCTACCGTTTACCTATAAACAGCGATCAGATTCTAATTTCTGCACACAGCAATTGATAGGAACTCGTGCGTCCAGGTCATGGTGGTAAAAGAATATGCCATATTCGTATCTTTAGCATTAGACTGGAACTACAACCACGGACAAATTGTGTCGGAAAATGCGCAAAAAAAAACATGAGATCATAACCACAATACCTAGAGAATAAGTGTCAGCACCCACATTTCTCTTTTAAATGTTGGAAATTGGTAAAATGCAAACTTGTGTTAGATGAAAGTGTTTTGTCAACATTGGAAAGGGGTGGGGAAGGGCAAAACCGTATACAGTGAATTTTCCCAACCCATGTGACCAGGGTTGTAGTTTGCAATGGAGGCTGATCGGGGGAATATCTTTAAAAAGAGATTAATGTCATTTGCATTTGAAAATACTCCCCGCATTAGCCTCAGTTGCATGCTAGTCCCAGTCTAATACCGAGAAATTTCCTAGCATTGACTAAGGAGAGTCTACAGCCTGATCTGATTCAAAGTTCAAAGTTGATCTTCAGAGGCGTCAGTGCCACTGACGGGACGATAAGGATTATCGACGTCCTCTGGTGCTTTATGATGCACTTCGATGGTAATGATATAAACAATGGCGCCCAGTACTCCTCCAAGCAAACAGGCTATGACTGGTACCCAGGCCCACCTATGATAAGCCCTAAACGCAACAAGATCAAAAGATGAAAAACGTCAGTTAATTTGGTAAGGTTTTCAGTGGTTAAACTTAATTTGTCAATATGACACAGCTCTCTCAGGCTTAAGTGAGAGCGAAATTATCCTACTATAGAGCATATTTCCGGAATTTGTATAAATCTTCCAGGCCTTGTCCGCTTCGTTCAGAGATGATTGACTAATATTAATAACTCAGACAATGAACACATGCAAATACTTTCTGAGCTCGCAGTTTCTATCACCGTAGTTGCTTAGCAACGCAACATGACGAAATCTTCAATGTGTCATGCAGTCGTGACAATAGACCTAATCATTCGATGTATTTTCTTCATTTTCATTGGCCGAGAGCCCACCACGTGAACTGCAAATAACTGCCGACAAATAATGGTCTGCTCATGCGTGGTACCGTCTAAATGTGTTTTGCTGCAAAGAATATTCTGCTCTTGCGTATTTGCAACCACGCTCTAGGGTGAAAAATGGCAGCTCGCTTCCCTGAGCTGTCAGGGAGTAATTACAATATGAAAACAAACTTGGTGATCGAACGATAAAACAATTATTGAACTCGGTCATCGCAAAAAATCTTGATTTGTCAGTGCCTCGCAGATTAATTATTTGCCTCAGCCTTCGGCCTCGGCAAATAGTTGATCTACTCACCACAGACAAATCACGGTATTTTTCTCAATCTCGTCAAACAATTGTTAAATATTTGTATTCTCGGTATTGGACTGCAACTAGCTTGTAACGAAAGCTCATGCGGCGAGACTTTTCAAATACAAATGGCATTTATCTCTTATAATCATGTTCTCCGCATGAGCCTCCATTCCAGGCTAGTTCCAATCCAATACCGAGAAAACGAATATGGCCAATTTTCCTACGCTCGAATAGTTTCCCTTTTGGAAATCAGTTTAAAGTGCAACTAGCCCCCAAATTTTTCCGCTTATTTAAATTTCCTTATTTTTCTGATCACCACTGCGAAAAAATTATCGTTGTAGCTATTTTCGTTAATTTCCTATGAAATTTTGAAGTCCGTAAAATTAGCCCTTTCCGTGGCCATGACCGGGCAATAGCGAAGAATGGTGCGAGTTGTCCTCTCACGTCATTGAAGGACCAACAATGTTTTGCTTCTAAGAAGAATGTATGCGACATGCACTAGTGTGATTCAAAATCGGTGCAGAATACAAGGAAGATGTGTTTTTGGAAGGATTCGCAGTACGGCAGTTTTAAGAAAAAAAAGAACATTAATCGAAATACTGATTCCGTAAAAGATTTCATTTTACACTCGATAAGAAGGGCTTCACTGGAACAAATATCAAATACTTCCAAAGACGCAATTAATCAAGCAAACAAAAAACACAAAACAAACAAATGAAAATCTTACGTAAATACTCCGGAGCCCCAACCAGCCATAGCGGTGAAAATTCTTGGTCCCAGATCCCTGGCTGGGTTTATGGCGTAACCGCAGTTGAACCCAAAAGTGGCGCCAATGATGAACACGACTAGACCAATCATGACCGGTGCCACCCCCTGGTCGGGCGAATTGTTGTTCTTGTCTATGATGGCGAAGATACAGCTGACAAGGAGAGCCGTGCCGAACAGCTGAAAACAAAAGCGAACGCTCGTGAAAATCTGAATTCTTCTCATACAGTACAAACACATTACTAAGCAGCCAGTTGAACATACTAATAATACATTCTACTGAATGTATAAAAATCTTGAAACAAGTATTACTTGATCAGCAAATCCATTTCCGGTGGACAAGAAGGACTGGGGATAAGTTGCCCAGATCCCCGCGGTAGCGTTCACGCCAGTTATCTGTCGGACTCCACCATCAAACGCGTTTAGCGCGTCTGGAGAAAACAAAAAAAATTGCTTTCTAAGTACCCGTTATGTCTAGCATTAACCAAGAGATTATGGTCCCTTGCGCTAACATATTACAACGGGCCAAGTTATTACAATGGAACTGAACAAAAGAAATGGTAACAGCTTAGCTTTTTGTAAGGGGAGGCCACGAACAGTATATTATACAAAATGAAAAAGGTTGCCTCCCCATCCTGCCCTTTCTGCTCCTCTGATAGTAAAAACTTACGTCATTTGTTGATTAGCTGCCCGCTAGCGTCTTTTTGGGATAAGTTCCAAAGTTGGTATTCTACAGTAGGTAACGCGAGTTTACTTCTCTCCGAGACAGAGGTATTATTTGGAGTTACTCGTCCCTGTACGCGCCGGTCGACCCTCAACCACCTCATAATGCTAGGCAAATATTTTCTTTATATCAACGCGCTGAATAATTTTATCTTCGTTTTCAGTGATTTCATCTCATTAGTGCAGGATAAAATCGAGATAGAAACGAATGCGACGTCGAATGGTGAGAGGAAATTTCAACAGAAGTGGAAATTCTTTCTCACCAGTTAAGGCGTGTCTCTTAGTAATTTGTTGTGAGTTTTTTCTGTAAGTTATTACAGCATATTGTAAGCCATTAACTAACATAATGTAACGTATTGTAAGCAGATTATGCCATGTATTATAACTGATGTTCATAAGTAAGTAATTATCGAGTATTGTAGGTAAGCAAGCAAGTTGTCGCCTCATGCGACCACCACACTGACCAACAACTACAAAAATGAGAACTGTATTTCCGCCAAACTATCACATCAACATGGCGACTAAAAATCCAACACACACAAAATTCACGTCATTATCACGTGACATAATTCCAAATATGTAAAGAGTACAAAACTGAACTAAATGTTATTGAACTAGATCACTGTCTTTATAGTCGCGACACAAGTACCGTAATGTAAAGTATTGTAGTAGGTTTTCGCATGTATTGTAAGCAGGAGCCATAATCGGGGACGGAGACCGTAAGTCTTGGGATCCACGCGCACCTATGATATGGGACAATTTTTCTATTTTTAAGGTAATTCCTCACATTTGCATTGCGCATCCTTACTGCGCATAATTTATGGCGTCATTAGCGCGCGCTCGTGCACGCGCATATTGAAAACATGAC